CCTTATTTCTACTTAAATGGGCACTTAGCCCACAGACGGGTTATCCCAAAATAGAGACATGCATTTTTGTCATCCAAAATACTCAGAATAACACTGCTGACAGAGTTTTTTTTTTTTCCAAAGCCAGTTTTAAAAGCAGCCGACTTAATCATCACAATTTATGCAGTCATAGAGATTTGCAGAAGAGTTTCTTACTCATCATTTTTAGTGACTCATGCAGACAGACTGGATTCAATACCTTAGTCACAGGCAGCTACATGTGGGTGATTTCCAAAGGTACATCACCGCTTCAAATCTGGGGTATTTTATTTTTTTAGGGCACGTTAATATTTATTGCAGCCTTTATTTAGCTATTACTTTAAGAAAATTACCCCTTAATCTAAACCTATCACAATTAGGTCTTATGTAGACACAAAGAATATAAAGGGAAACGATTCATTCCACTTAGAGGTAAACTAGTAAAAAAAAATCAATGACAGTTTTGATCCAAGATTTGCTCAGGCTGAAGGAAAACACATATTTAGCCATGGGAAGAGTTTCTCAATGCAAATATGTTATACCCAAGGGAAATGGTGATGGCCTTGGTTACTTTCACACTCTCTCTGAGGTTTCAGCATCACCGTAGGAAGAGTCATTTTAATAGAATCAGAATCACAACGTAGAGCTATAAAGGGCTTTGAACAAATGGGGAATGCTCAAATGGAGATTATTACGCTAAGTGAAATAAGCCAGTCAGAGAAAGACAAATATCACACGATCTCACGTATGTGTGGAATCTAAAGAGCAAAATAAACTGATGAACACAATAGGAGAAAAAAGGGTGGGGGTGGGGCTGTGAGAAAACCTGGAGGAGACATTGTTCAGTGAAAGTGCCAACTGTATGTTCCACAACCGCGAAACCACCGAGAGGTTAGAGTGCGCATTTCAATAGATTTTAATAGATAAAGATATCAGAAAGTAATATTAAATTTACTCCGTCTTTAAAGATAAACAAACATTTTCCTTTATTTCCCCTTCCCACTCTTGAGCTTATCCCATACTCCTTCTCTCATGCAATCCACATTTTTATCCCAATAGAGAAAATGTATAATTGTCCTAGTTAATTCAGAATATTTAATTAGCTTTCATCATGATGAATTTGGTTTCTACATTTTCCCTGTTTTGTTTGGCCTCAGCCATCATGTATGTCAGTTTTGATTCTGGATGTGAAAGCTTAGGGCCCTTTTTATGGTGGGAGTTTTTATGGTGGCCCTTTCTGCAACAACTTGCAATACATAAGTTATGAATTTTGTTGTACTGCTTTCATGCTTATAACCGAAATTTTCTTTATGTTTAAATTTTATTAATCTCAAATATATACAAATGTTAACTTTCACACCCATTTTTCAAACTCTAAAAATATATTTATTGATTTCAGAGAGGAAGGGAGAGGGAGAGAGAGAGAGTGAAACATCAATGATGAGAATCACTGATCAGTTGCCTCCTGCACACCCCACATTGGGGATCGAGCCCACAACCCAGCCATATGCTCTGACTCAGAATCGAACTGTGACCTGGTTCATAGATCGATCATAGGTCGACACTCAACCCTTGAGCCATGCCCATCAGGCTCAACCTCTTTTAAACTCGCATTGGAAGTTCTTTCCTGGTAACTGTCATCGTAACTATTTACGATAGTCATGGCTATGTTTTCTATGAATATTAATTCATGAGCACTACTTTAGTGTGTCATATAATGATTTACAAAATGATTTACAGACTGCCATCTATCGTAGAAAACTAAAGCATCCCATTACACAACCGATTCAGCTGGTTACATTGACGTTAATATAGCCTGGGATGCTTTTATCCTAACAAGGGATCATATCATTGTAATTCATTGTTTTGATTCTGGAATCATAATAGGAATTGACTGTATTTTTATTGCAAAAACTTTATTCTTTCTTCATAGTTGCCTGACCACAGATTGGGTACATCTCTGGTATATATGGTAAGTTTCAGCTATAATAGCCACTGTTTTTGTTTGTTTGTTTGTTTGTTTAGTTTAAATATATTTGACAGCAGGGAAAAAAAATGTATATGAGACCGCCAGCCTACTTAATTGCATAGCATCGCATGGAGTCGTTTCTTTACTTCATCGCCACCCTATGTGACAATATGACAGGATTTCCTATTTCAATACCATCTTCCCGGGCAACATCAACAGATTATTGTCTACATCCGCAGATCAGCCCTAAAATAGCCTATAGTATAGAGGCTACTTCAGTAAAGTAAAAAGCAGCCCCTCCAAGTCCCATTACACCTCTTGCTAATTTTCTAACAAACTGACTCTGCCCTGCTGACAAAGTAGGGAAGTATAACATGTGAAGTGAAAGCCTTAGAATTAAAATCTTATAATTACTCTATAAAAGATCCACACAAGAGTCAAACCGCAGACGTGGAAGGCTGATTATGCTAAAGTTAGGAAACACAGCAGAATCCAGAGCTCTAGTGCTGGTGGCTCCTTGCAGGTTGCTGGTGGTCATCGGTGCCCTGCTTCTCCTGTGTGGCCTGACCTCTGTGTGCTTCCGCTGCTGTCTGAGTCGCCAGCAAACTGGGGAAGACGAGGGCCGGCCACCCTACGAAGTGACAGTCATCGCTTTTGACCATGACAGCACTCTCCAGAGCACGATCACCTGTGAGTACACGGACTGTTCCATGGGAAGGGAACCGGGTTCAAACACGCGATCAGGATGGTACGACGGCATTAGAACACCTGGTTAAACAGGAAAGAAGCTGTAACTCAGAGCTGTTTTAGTGACCAGAAGCCTGGGGATGCAGTGACCTGTGCTGTCAGCAACCCTGTACTCACAGACATTGTTCTTGTCTGACGAGAGAGCGAAGGAAGAAATGAAATGCTGGAGATGATGTTGGAAATGTTTTGCGAGAAGAATTACCCAATTCATAAATAGTTAGGATTAAGAAAATTGGTTTAAGCTCTAAACATACCCCTTTTCCAAAAATGTCGTGGGCCCTAGCTCGTTTGGCTCTGTTTTTTTCTCTCTCTCTCTCATTCCTTCCCTCTCCATTCCACTCTCTCTAAAAATCAATGGCAAAATAGCTTCAAGTGAGGATTCACAACAACCACAAAAAGTCTTGGATTGATTAATAAAATTGGTTTAAGCTCTAAGCATACCCCTTTTCCAAAAATGTCTTCGGCCCTAGCTCGTTTGGCTCTGTTTTTCTCTCTCTCTGTCTGTCCTTCCCTCTCCATTCCACTCTCTCTAAAAATCAATAGCAAAATAGCTTCAGGTGAGGATTCACAACAACCACAAAAAGTCTTGGATCTTGTAAAAACCCACATGCTCTATCTGGAATTATTATATATTTAAAGAAGTTTGTCATGTGTATTTTCAGTTATTTATTCTCCAAATCTTTCGGTGTTTTTTTTTTTTGTTTGTTTGTTTGTTTGTTTTTTAAGAGAAAGTTTATTTAGAAAGTCAGAGAAAGAAAAAAGAAAAACACAAACAAAAAAAGAGAGTGGGGGGATAAAAAAACATCATAGAGGTAGAGGAAGTGAGCTGTAGAAGAAAAGGACTTGGGAAACAAGTGTTACGGAGGCAAAAGAAGGACCCTTGTTGCTTAGGATCAGAGCGAGGCACGGAAAACTCACCTAGGGGAAGGATCGGGGACAGGCCTGGGGATACCCCATAGGGAGCTGCACTGGGCCCCTCCTGAGGGCATGTTTCTGGAAATCTCAGGGGAGATCTCAATAGCATATTCATCAGTTTTTCAGAAGTGTTCTTTCAGGGTCCTAGTCTCCCCTGATTGGGGGGAAAGGGGAGGGGTGCTCATAAGTCAATGCACTTGGTCCTGATGATGTCAGTCCTGGCGCCTCTTGTCTGGTTTTGCTGCATTTCTGGGCTTGAGGCTAAAACACACCCAGGCGAGGCCTATGTGTGTAGTTTTGCTGATGGAAACTGTCATGGAGCTTAATGCTTCAGGGCTGTTCTCCGGCTCTCTTCTTTGTTCCCCCTCTAAGGGAGGGTCTAACCCTCATAACTAGCAACATGCCCAGAGAGGAAAGGTCAGGCTGAACTGCAGGGATCTAAAGGGCAGGATCAGAGATAAACTAGGGGAGGAAATGTTACCCTGGGGGTGAGGTTCTTGTTTTCCCAGTTTTGCTGGGCACCTGGGGCTGTTCAGCCTGGTGACCTTCTCGACCTGGCCCGTCATCCTTGCTCTGCTCATATCTAACTGTCTACCACAGATGGGATCTATTCTCCACCTCTTGATACACAAAGTATGAGCCTCAACATTCTTTTGGTGACCATAAGACACTATTTTCTTCTGTTCTCTTCTTTATAGGACAGTATTTACTAAAGCTGGAGTGCAAATACCAGGCAGAACAGCAGGTGGCCAAACACTGTGATTTTCATTTTGCACAGAGAACAATGTGACCTGCTGTTGCTCACCTTTCCTGCCTCCCAGTCATTTTGAGAAAAGATAAATAAGGCAGAAATACATATTTCTAGGGAGACTGCAAGATCAGTGGGTCGGTCTAAGGCAGTGGTTCTCAACCTTCCTAATGCCGCGACCCCTTTAGTACAGTTCCTCATGCTGTGGTGACCCCCAACCATAAAATTATTTTCGTTGCTACTTCATAACTGTAATGTTGCTACTGTTATGAATCGTAATGTAAATACGCCTGTTCAACTGTTTTCTCAGCTGCCTCCCGGTCCCCTTTTTCCTCTCCCAGGTCAATCCAGTCTAAGGGGTTCAGAATCTGCCAACGATGGTGGGATATGGGAACCCAGTTTAGATTATTCCAGGATACCAGAGAAGACAGGGTCTTTTTAGCAGAAAGTGAAGTTGGTTTCTAAACAAGCTGCACAGGGTTTTCATAACATTTGTGGCAGAGTTGACAATGAGTTTGGTCAGCTGTAAGGTAGAGGGAAACTTAATGTTGTAAGCCTGATTTCCGAGGATGTCACATTTACTCTAGCTCTATTCCTTCTCCCCTCACCAGCCCTGCAGTCAGTGTTTGGCCCTGCTGCTCGGAGAATCCTGGCGGTGGCCCACTCCCACAGCCCGCTGGGCCAGCTGCCCTCCTCCGTGGACACCCTCCCAGGGTATGAGGAAGCTCTTCACATGAGTCGCTTCACAGTGGCCAGGTGTGGGCCGAAAGTACCTGACCTACCCTCAGTGCCAGAAGAGAAGCAGCTGCCTCCAGTGGAGAAGGTGTCTCCTCAAGGAGAACACGCTTCAAATTGATGGGAACTTCAGTTTTATAAATGGGGAGGGGGTATCCGCAGAGTGGGTAAAGATAGACAGATGGAACATTTTTTTGCTACCTTTCCGAAGATTTAGGATGAATCTAAACATCATCTAGTGGAAAACATGATGATGTTTTCCAACGCTTCATTTCCAGCCACATATTATTTTCCGATGTGGAATGCTCTAATCGAGAACTCTCATTACTTATCCAATACCAAAATTTGCAACTAACCTCTCTAGCAATGTGTCACAGATTTCTTGAATTCCTCCAACTATTGAGTTCCTTTACCCACATGATACTGCAAGTTGCTCTTCTCTGCCAGCGCCTGGGTAGAATACGCTTGAGGCGCCATAAGCATTAATGTACCAAATTCACTTTTCCTCTTGAGGGAACACCCACTTTGACACTGAATGACAATGGTCATCTTAGACATCATGTAAGACCTAACTGGACATCCATAATCTAAGGGTGGGATTGCAGTGTAGGCTAGGAGAACACAGTATATATTGAAATGCCAGATATAAAGGTCTTTCACTCTAGTCCTACCTACCAGTGGTATTGGACAGTGCACAGAAGACAATAACAGTTCTATTCAATTTTCAGTTCCTCTGCCCTGTGGACACACGCATGCACGCACGTGCTTGAGCACACACACGCACCCTTTTCTAACTTGGAAAGAATAGCATTGCTTTGCTTCATTTCTCCTGCCTGAGTTGACCACTTGAAACCAAGTACCTAGTGACAAGCACTAGACTCTAGTGGTGGCCTTTCCTGCCACCTTGTGGCGCCATGATAGAAATGCATCCTCCTCTCTGCACACCTCTCCATTTCCAGGAGGGAATCAAGCCTAAATGAGATCCTTCCCAAGGCACCATCCCTTTGTGCCATGTTAAACTGCCCACGTAGCATACTACCTCCAAAGTATAATACTTTTGGAAAATCGAGGAAGTGAATTCTATTCAGCACTGACCTTAGATAACCCAATGGAATCTTTAAAGTGCAGTTTTCTCATCTGTATGATAGACAGGCAATGATAACACCTCACAAGTTTGATGTGAGGGTCAAATAAACTAAGTATATATGACAGATTTGTAAAGTATTATGCACGTGTGTGTTTTTTTTAATTCTTGATACAGATGTCTGATTTTCATCTGCCTGCTATGATCCTACTGAAAATTATGTCTGATTCCTCCTTTTGCTATGTTAGTGCTAAGTCACACCTGAAGCGCTTTATTTCATCAGTAATATTTGTTAAGTGAGGTAAACAGCTAAAGATATGCAACTCCTGTTAATGTGTTCTGTGTAGAGGTAGGGAACATTTGAACAAACTCATTTATTAGGAAATTAGCCCAGGACTCAGGGAGACATTACAGAGCCGGGAATGACTGATTAGTGCAGTCAGCGCCTCATTAAGTACATTCTTGGAGGAATGCTCACTCAGCCCCGCCAGAGGGAAACTATTCTGACTATAACCTGCTGGTGATCTGCGTTTTTCTTGGGTCATTTATCAAATTGCCTCTGGAAATTGTTGAAATGCATGAATTGTTCATAGCACCTGAGTTGGCCTTGTTTTGCTGCTGCCAAATGAATCACTTTATTATCACACATTCTGTGAAATATTCTTGCTTCATTTGTCCTTCAAGATACCATAGTCTTAAGTAAAAATGGTGTCAGGTATAATAAGATCTTGGGAGAAATCCTATCTTATTCTAAAGAGATCTTTCTGCCCCATCTCTCCCTGCCCCTATGCCCCTCTAGTAGCTACATGGAGTTCACTCCTGTCACCATTCCATTTTGTCACAAGCTGGTAGCACCCATGTGACTTCACTTCTTTATCTACACTATCTAAGATATCTGTTAATAAGCCAAATCACTTTAGCCACTGTTCTCAAAAAATTTTAACCCCTTTAAACTTTCCTCACACCTATTCTTCAAACTTTAAACATTGGTTCATTGAAGCTAACCAGTTTCTCCCCAAAGCCTACACTGCTGAACAGAAGAGCTGCAGAAAATCTCCCAACTCTGCTGATCGAGGTCATTTACAAGGTCACGATCTCCAACACACCAGGACCATTTACCATTTCTTCTAGATTTTCTTTAGTGATTTTTTCCATTCCTTTCAGTAGTTATTCAAATTTCAATACCTCTCTTCAAACCTCACACCCCATAACCTACTCATTAGGGGATTTGTCTCCTTAGTTCAGACAGGAAATCAAAGCTTTCAGGTAACTTCCTAGCCCAAAGCTACAACCCTTATGGCTCTGAACCTCTCCTTTCCTCTTTCCTTCTGTTTAAATGAAATAGATGTCCTTCCTGCTTCCCAATAATATTTCTAATTGTGTGTTGTATTACATTTGATTCAATGGAAATTATGTGCCAAGAACAGTGCTGAGGCAAACTGGAGGAACAAAAGTGTGCAAGAAACACAGGGTCTCTGACTCTTGATCTTCACAGAGCTTAAGAAAAAGGAAATCTACATATATAAAAGCCTAATATGCAAATTGTCCCCACGGGAGTTCGTCTGGAGACCAATCATTTGCTATGATGTGCACTGACCACCAGGGGGTGGCGTGGACAGCAGCCAGGGAAGGGAGGCCCCACTAGCAGCCATGGAACGGAGACCCTGGCTGGCAGCCGGGAAACCCTGGCCAGCAGCCGGAAGGCCCTGAATGGCCCTGATCACTGGCCAGGTCTACCTGTGCATGAATTTCATGCACTGGGCCTCAAATATATATATTTCAAACATGAAGAGTGCAAAGAACCATTGGGAAAGGCAGAGTGATGAAAGAGCATTTTCATAGATGTGATATGGTTGGGTAAATTTGAGAAACTGAAAAAAGACTGGAGTAGTTGATTTAGTGAGCTTAGGAGGGATCTGCAAAAATGGAGTCTGAGAGAGACAAGGGGCCTTGGGGACAAGGAGTATAGACTGTATTTTACATGCATCAAGAAGTCATTGAAGGATTTTAAACAGTAAGTCACGTATGCAATTTGAATTTTAACAGTGAGTGAATGCTACAGGAGAAGGGACTGGAGCAATGAATGCAAGCATGAAGACCAGATGAGAGGCAACTGAAGAAGAGTAGATAAGAGATGCTTGTGGATGGGACTACCATGGTGATATTAGAGATGAAAGTAGCGATAACTGTCGGAATTTGAAAGATATATTGGGATGCCATCATCAGGATTTGCTGATAGATTGGAAAGGGAAATGCTGTAAGGGAAATGAGCAAAAAATGACTCCTAGATCATTGAGCTGAGCCAATACATGGAAGGTATTAGTGTTTATTATGATGGGAAAGACTGGAGAAGACCAGATTTAGGGGTGAATTCAAGGCAGTGATTTCTAAAATGGGGAAAAAGCGTTTCATAAACTTGGTAAAATATAAGCCAACTTAATCTAAGATAAAGCTTGTATGTGGTTATGAACGAGATATTCAACTTCCCATCTTCCTTCTTCTTCCTCTTGCTTATACTTTAATTGTTCACTTTCTACTAGCTTCTTCCCTTTACTAGTACAATACAAAAGTTTTATATTAATTATGTATTATAAAGAGGAAGGAGAGTATAGAGCTGAAAAAAAAAAGAGCCCATTTTTAAGCATGTACTAAATGATTCAGACACTGAACTAGAAGACGAT